TTGGTCTGCCGATGGCCACGACAAACTCAAGAAGTTTGGGATCACTCTCTATGGTTTTATCGATGCTTGGAGCAGGAAGATTTTGGGAATCTTTGTTCATGTCACCAACAACAACCCCCGACACATTGGATACTACTATCTCGAGCTTGTCAAACGTGAAAGGTGGCATACCTCGCCGAACATCTACTGACAGGGGAACCGAAACAATCCACATGGCTGGCCACCAGATCAACCTCACCGAATCGTTCAATGCAGACTTCCCAGATCCGATTCAGTCACACCTGTTCACCAAGAGCACCCACAATCAGAAGATTGAGTGTCTATGGTCGCAGTTAATGAAGCAATACAACAGCGAGCTAATAAACCAACTCTTTCGGGCGGAGGAGGAATCGTACTATGATCCACAAGATCCTGTTGAGCAGTAAGTTTATTTATCCACAGCTTCTCTGGTTTGGTAATAAACTGACTAACATCGCATGCATCAAAAGTCTTTTATTTATTTACTTATGGGTTCCACTTCTGCAAGAAAGTCTCGATCAATGGACGAGTAACTATAACAATTACAAACGTCGATGGGACAAGAAGAGCATGCTCCCAACTCGATGTAGTGCAGAATGGTGCTATCAATATCCCTCGGATGTCGGAGGCGAACAAGGATTGATTCCAGTGCCAATATCTGCTGCCGAGGCCTTACAGCAGGCGTTCTATCCGGAGGGGACAGAATTAATGGAGACGTCTCCCAAATGGTTTGTCAAAGCCATCAAAGAGCTGGAAACCGGGATGCATCTCACGATACCTGTTGTTGACATTCACAACGTTTGGGAGGTGTTCTCTCTTGTTCTTGAAGCTATCCGTTCTTTTGACTCGTCTTGGCTTTCAGACCCTACCAATGACCCTTCTGAATCTTTCTCTCATCGTGCCGCATCCTTTGATGAATAATATGGTTTCTTGGTCTTATTCATGCCTTTGATTCAAAATAACATAATTTCTGAATTTGTTACATAAGTCACTTGGATGCGTTGTCTTGAATGCAAGTATCTGATTGATTATTTGTATTCAATAATCAATTTCAATTTGGGATGGATGATCAAGCAGTGGTAATTTATGTTTAAAATTGAAAATATGGAATTCATATGAAACAAAAGACATCATGATAAGGGGGATGGTAAATAAAGAACACTTTAATTGAAAAAGGTAACTATCAGGGAATCAGGATGGATATTTTTGGGATTTACATAAAGTCTTTTTATGTATCTCTTCAGGAGTAGCATCTTTTAATTTTTTAGCAACATTGGCAAGTCTCCTGTTGATTTGAAAAGAACAACCTTGGTGAGTCCAGGGGCGTTCTGGATCATTTTGAGAAGAAAGGGAAGGAGGAGGAGGAGTTGTACAATGTTCAAACTTGGTAGTCTGCCAAACAAGTTCAACAATGCCATTAGATTTTACAAAGTCAATCAGATAAGCATGCCTTGGAAATAAAAATCCATGACCTAATTCGGAGGAAGGAGGAGGAATGGGCCTCCCAGTTGACTTATCAATATAAGCAAATATACCATAGGTCCATCCATTTAAGTCGTTCTCATCTTGATGGGCTTGGTTGTAGAAATCGTTATATGTGACGGAAACATTTGCAGCAAATTTGAGGTGTTCACGATCTTCATTCTTCATTTCAGTCCACTCCTCCTGAGTCCAATTAGGGATTCCGTATTCTTGCATCAGGGCTTGATTTTCCAGGAAGGCGGTTCGAGAGAGAGCTTCCATCCTGCCAGCAAGGAAGTCGTTGTGGGATTGAAGCTTGGCCCAGTTTGCATCGTCTTCGGCAGTTTGAGCAGGGGTAAGTTTGTTGCGTACATAAGTACCTAGGACAATAATTAATGAATAATCATGAGTATAGCATATGGGATTACTTAGGGCATCATTGGGAAAAAAATGTAATTCGGACATACCTCCAGACTTGCCATCGTCATTTCCTGGGCGGAATCCTATCAGATGCATTTCACCATTGAGTCGTTTGGTATTTCGTTTGTTAGGTGGGCGATATCTGGCCATGGCATGGAGCGTTTGGATCACATCACACAGTTTGTCGAATATTGGAGTAGATGGAGACGTTTGGAAGGAATGATACTCTAGGATGAAGTGAGGTACAAGGCCTGAAGAAAGTGCGATTTGACGTGAAGGTTTATCTGTTTTAGGCAAGTGTTGAATTGGTTTGTGGGATACTTTTTCTTCAGAAGGGGAGCAGAGAAAGAAATATGTATGCTCCGTAGAGCCGAATTTCCTTTCGAGACTAGCAATCTTCTTTGCAGTGCCAGTTGCATATTGAGGCGGAGGGTTGCGGGGCTTTGATGTTTGAATTCCGTGATCCGGAAGTCTTTTTGGGACAGGCTTACGATTCCAAAGTGGCTCATCATCCTCACTTTCATCATCCTCACTTGAAGCACCGACCACACATGACCCACTTTCACCCTGATGGTTGCCGGCCTTGCGCCGAACAAGCGATTCAGGGCTTCCATGTGCCAAGGGGCCCTTGCTTTGAGTTGATGAGGCACTGACCACACATGACCCACTTTCACCCTGATGGTTGCCGGCCTTGCGCCGAACAAGCAGATCAGGGCTTCCATGTGCCAAGGGGCCCTTGCTTTGAGTGGATGAGGCACGGACCGCACATGGCCAACTTTCACCCTGATGGTTGCCGGCCTTGCGCCGAACAAGCTGATCAGGGCTTCCATTGGCCAAGGGGCCCTTTTTGAGGCTCGGGTTGGCTTTGAGGAGTCGCCTTCGGGCATTCCTGGTCATTTTTTGGGCACGGTTTTCTGAAGATGGAGCAGGAAGTTTGATTCACTTGTAAGCTACGGTACAACAACATTGAGGAGGGGGGGTGTCAGTTATTGGCTGGCACCTGCTCCCCTGCAGCCACTACCATCTTTGATGGTAGTGGCTGCAAGGCTAGAACCCAAAAGAAAACAAGCGGCCGACTACATCGGCCGTTCACTCACCTTGCAGGGGAACAATCAACTGATTGTTTTGAGGCTCAGCTACCCTACAAAGACCAGAAAAAAATGGGGGGGGTCAGCCTGGCCACCTCCTCCTCTTCAGCCACTACCATTGTTGATGGTAGTGGCTGAAGAGGGCCGATGAAAAAAGGTATTGTTCACATACCACACGGGCGAGCGATCCAACGGATCGTTCGCGGTTTGAGCTACCCTGAACCACAGACAAAGACAAGGGGGGGGGGGGGGTGTCAGCTCATGGCATCTCCTCCTCTTCAGCCACTACCATCACCGATGGTAGTGGCTGAAGAATGCCAATGAGAAAAGGGGTTTAACGGCCGACTTTGTCGGCCGTTCACATACCACACGGGCGAGCGATCCAACGGATCGCTGGCGGTTTTGGCTACCCTACACAAAGAAAAGAAGAGGAGGGGGGGTCAGCATGATCCCCCATCTCCTCATCGGCCCCAACCATCAGTGATGGTTGGGGCCGAGGAGGTAGAATCTTAAGATAGACCAAAGAACGGCCGATTGAATCGGCCGTTCTCTTACCTAAATAGCAATCGATCCAGAGGATCGATGGCGGTTTTTGCTACCCTACACGAAGAAAAGAAGAGGGGGGGGGGTCAGCATGATCCCCCATCTCCTCATCGGCCCCAACCATCACTGATGGTTGGGGCCGATGAGGTACATTCTTGAGATAAAGCACAGAACGGCCGATTGAATCGGCCGTTCTCTTACCTAAATAGCAATCGATCCAGAGGATCGATGGCGGTTTTTGTTACCCTACACGAAGAAAAGAAGAGGAGGGGGGGTCAGCATGATCCCCCATCTCCTCATCGGCCCCAACCATCACTGATGGTTGCGGCCGATGAGGTACATTCTTGAGATAAAGCACAGAACGGCCGATTGAATCGGCCGTTCTCTTACCTGACGAGTGATCGATCCAGCGGATCGGTCGCGTTCCTAGCTACCCTACACAAAGAAAAGCAGAGGAGGGGGGGTCAGCATGATCCCCCATCTCCTCATCGGCCCCAACCATCACTGATGGTTGGGGCCGATGAGGTACACTCTTGAGATAAAGCAAAGAACGGCCGATTGAATCGGCCGTTCTCTTACCTAACTAGCGATCGATCCAGCGGATCGGTCGCGTTCCTAGCTACCCTACACAAAGAAATGAAGAGGAGGGGGGGTGGTCAGCATGATCCTCAGCCTCCTCTTCTGCCACAACCATAAAGATCCCATCACCATTGTCAGAGGCCAAAGGGGCCTGATCATCATATGAAAAAAGGAACAACTTACCGTTGGATTCCTTATGGGGCCAGGCTCTGGGTTCAAAGGAGCAGGGGGAGCTGAGCAGGAGTTTGGGTGATGGATGAGAGGCGGCTTTTTGATCAGGAAAAAGTGAGTGAGTGGTTGAGATGAGTGAGTCCAAATAAGAAAAAAAATCGTCTCAGAATAGATTCCATTGCCAGTACAGGCCTGTATAACACAGGGCTTTGACTGAACTTGAGACATGGCCTCAAGGGTCAACTGCCTGAGCCCTGGTTGCCTGATTCATTGGAAGTTCTTTGCTCAATGTTCTCAAGTGCCACGGATGACATGAATAGAGGCAATAATAAAGGAATTATAATTGCTTAAGTCGCCATTAAAACTATATACATGACAAGGTCAATCATGAAATCGTGACCTCAGCGCCTGGGTGCCCAGTCTGACAACTGAGATCAGCCCCAGATCCTCATCCGTAGGGCCAGGTGTTGGTTCATTGGTTAGTCCAGTGTTACCAGAGGTGTGTCCGATGTTGCATGTGGATTGACTGATGTTGCTGGTGGATTGGTGGCTGACCCTGCTGGATTGACTGATCTCGCAGGCGGTTTGTGGGTTGTTGCTGGTGGATTGAGCAGTGTTGACGGTGGCTCGGCAAAAGTTGCCCAGGTCATTGGCAAAGTCGTCCGGGGCACTGGGTGGCGGGAACCAAGGGATTTCGACCAAGTCGGGTAGTTCAAGGGCTTTGCACACCTTGTTGCACTTGTGCTTCTCGAGAAATAATTCCATGTACTCTTTGGCATATTTATTCTTCCACATAGACCTGTGGATTCAAAGGGTATAGAAATTATGAGTGTCAAATACAGCCATAAATAGGACAGATGTATAGCACGTACTTGGTGTTCAAATCTACAATGTGTGGTTTGGAAAGAAGGGTACCGTGGCCTTTAAATTTTCGAATGGTGAGCTGGCCACGAGTATGATTATAGACCCAGTGTTGAAACGAGTGGAGCAAAAATTCGGTGGGAGAGCGAGGTTCACCGGTGAAGTAGACATCGTTTTCAATTGACAAAAGGCAAGTATAGCCGCCGGTGATTTCTTCTTCCATCCAGAACACTCGAGATGGTTCATTGTCAATATTGACGGACCGGAGAGGGTAGTTGGGTTCTTCAGTGGAATCAAACATATCATCATCCTGACCAGGAACGTATTTATCCTCATGTCTTGGTCGAGTAAAGATGTCATGGTGAACAGGAAATCCATCGACAATCTGATGGGTAGTTGGTCAGACCAATAAATTTGTAGAGGATTTGAATAGCAGACACACTCACACGTAACCTTTTTGCCGTCCGCCCAATAATTGTCCCACCTGCCGACTGACTTATAGCCTGACAGAATTGAGCCAGGAATTGCCTGGAAACCGCATAGGTCCTCAGCCAATAGTTTGGTACATATGCATATGAATCACATGTTAGATCCTTGCGGACTCGAGAGTATTCGGCTACCATGGGAAAAACTGTTCCAGAGTCAAAAACCTTGGCTGCTATGATTTTGGTTGTCTCTTTCACCTTGAAACATTTATTATAATTAACACGGTAGAGACAAATATTCTGAGGCATGTTGAGACCATCAGGATCCAGGCTGAATAGAACTCCATCAACCCAGTCAGAGTTGTCGGCATCTCGGTATGACAAGGAGTTCTCCATGCTCCCAAATCTCTCCCATGATAAATTGTTTGGATCCAAGATTGTTTCGGCTCGCCCTAATAACAAATTCTTAGTCACTTAAGTCAGGTGGTTATTTACAATAGTGACACTTACAAGGTGGGAGGATCCTAACAATCACAAGTTCATCGTCCAAGTTTCTCTTCAAGGCTTCAACATGGGGGTTGGTCTCTTGTTGAATGACTGAGGAGAATTTTGGCTGTTCATCGTGGTCGTTCCGAACCACCAGCTGAGAGGGAGGAGGAACAAGTGATTTATTCTGAGGTAAATTAGTGGTTGGAGTTGACCGGGTTGCTGATGATAAAGAAGGTAGACTTGGAGGAGGAGGTAAAGTTGATCGATTCTGGGGTAAAGTTGTGGTCGATGTTGAACCGGTTGCAGATGTGAAAATGGTCGAAGGAAGACTGGATTCAGAGCTGTCACTTTCAGCGTCTGAATGCAAATCTTCATGATATTCAGTGTCCTTTCCTGATCGGAGAGCATATCGTGCAGCTTGAGCGTCAATTCCTTCTTGTTCTTCTTCATCAAGGGTGTGCCGTTCAAAGGTGTCCCGGTCATAAATCAAGTCGATCGCCTTTTCCCGCCTTAAGAACTCGACAAACAATTCGTAATCTTCAACAGATCCTCCTTTCTTGGTGCCTAACCGACAAAAACTGAAGTGCTCAACACCAAACATTTCCCTGTCCTCAGTCATCTTTGTCCGGAGTTCCACTTTACCATTGAACTTGTTGCAGAGCGTGTCGATCAGCTCTTGAAAAGAATCAGGATTTGACCAGAGCACAAACTGATTGCTTCGAATGACCGATTGCGAAGGGGCATATTTGCCTCGGGCCCACATCTCAAAGCCACATTGGACCGAAATCTTATCGGGAGGATTCGTAGCAGGTAGGGCACCTTTACTTGCCGGAGCTCTTCTTGCAACTGTACGTCCGACTCGGTTGTTTGGGTAAGGTTGAGTTTTCGAGACTCTTGAAGCTCGGGCCGATTCGTATGCAGGGTTCAAGATGGCTGGGACCACAGCTGTGTTGGTAGTAATAAGGTTACAGGTGAGTTACAACGTTTTCAGTAGAACTATATGGGATTTACACGCATGAAATTGCATACTTTGACTGCTGCCGGTGGATCCATTCACCACTGGGTTCACGGCAATAGGAAATGCCATGGAATGTGATGCTTGGGCTGATTCGTATGCAGGGTTCAAGACCGCAGGGACCACAGCTGTGGTGGGGTATTAGACAGTAGTAATAAAGTTATAGGTGAGTTTTAACGTTTGAAGTAGAACGATATGGGATTTACACGCATGAAATTACATACTTTGACTGCTGCCTGTCAATCCATTCACCACTGGGTTCACGCCAATAGGAAATGCCATGGACTGGCCGAGTGGGCTGGGGACAGTAGGTGTGGTGATTGGATTGGAGTATAACGCTCTGGCCCTTTGGATTGCCTCTTGCCGTTTAGATTGGAGAACCTCTTGAGCCGAGGTCAATTGGCCAGTTGGAGGTCTGATTTTTGGAGGAGGCACTGAGTTTGGAATCATTTTGTCGACACAGTCGTTGCATAATCCACGGAATACCACGGGAGATTTTCCACACTGGAAACAGAACATCTTTTTTTCTATGCAAGTTACGTTAGTTGTGTTTGGCTATTAAGGGTGCATAAGTATGGGATTCTGCTGCTTACTCTTGATCTAGAAATGGAAAGGACTGGGTTGTCTTGATGTTGTGAGGACAGGCCTGGATCGTCTGGAAGCTGTAAGGGAAGGGCTGGATCGTTGTCTGGATGTGACTTATGCAAGGCTTGTTTTGTCCTTATGTGTAACGAGTAACGGGTAACACTATGGAACGAACAGAATCTATGTGTTTACATTTCTGATACGGGTGGGGAATGTGGCTTCTGTAGTGCGCCATGCCCTGTATGATTTTCAGGCTGTATTTGACGTTTTTCAAAATTGATGGCTAATTTGACGGTTCAGTGCCATGCATGGCGGTTCAGGGGCAATGATGGCGGCTCAGGAGCATGGGTGGCCAATTTGGCGGTTGGATTCATTTTTCAATTTGGCCATTCTGGCGGTTCAGGGGCGTCATTTGGCGGTTGTTTGGCCAAATTGGCGGTTCATCCCCATGTTTTCATTTTTTTTAGCCAAAATGGCTGCTCAGTACCTCCATAGATGTGACCATCTGAGCGGGAACCCAGATGAAAACCATGTTCCAATATTGCAACTGGTAAATAGACTGAGGCCAAAATGGTCACCGGTAAATGGACTGTGTGACCCTGGTAAAGGGCTAGGTGAGCTGGAATTTCTACAGTGAAATGGGCACAATTAGTCCAGTAGAAGTGGAAGGATGAGCAGGAAATTGCCCTGGTATGATCCAGATGGGCTGAAGTTTTCCCAGTGTAATAGTCTGATGGGACCTGTCATTGCCTCTGTGAAATGGTCTGGATGATCTGGAAGAGCTGGTACTGCCCCTGTGAAATGGGCATGATGGGGTAAATGGTGGGCTCAATGTGCTTCAATGGAAATAAGCTGGATGAGCTGAAATGGTGGGCTGGATGAGCTGGAATTGAACTGGGCTGGATGAGCTGGAATTGAAATGAGCTGGATGAGCTGGAAAATTGGGCTGTGTGGGCTGGAATTTCCCCTGTGAAATGGCCTGGATGAGCAGAAAATGTGGGCTGAATGTGCTGGAATTTTTGGCTGGATGAGTTGGAAATTCAAATGAATTGAGGGAGGGTGAGGGTTAATGTGAAAGGGAAGAAAAAAGAGAAATACTGAAATTGGATTGGGGAATGAATGACGTAGATTTGATGAAAAAAAGGTCAGAAAGAAATTAATGAGAGGAGATGAGTTGAGAAGAATGAGAGCAGAGTCTTACTGATTTAATGAGGAGAAAGAGCTGGCTGGAACCAGCTGAAAAGCAGATTCCTACAGGTATTCCTTGCCCTGTGAAATGAGATTGATGGGCAGGTATTTCCCCTGGTGAATGGACAGGGTGGGTGGACTGGATTTGCTCCAGGTAAATGGGCGGGATGAGCTGGAAAATTGGGCTGGATGAGCCGAAAAGTTGGACTGGATGAGCTGGAAGTTGGGCTGGATGAGCTGGATTTGCCCCTGGGAAATGGGCTGGATGAGCTGGAAAGGTGGGCTGGATGAGCTGGAAAATTGGGCTGGATGAGCTGGAATTGCCCCTGTGAAGTGGGCTGGATGAGCTGGAATTCCCCCTGGGAAATGGGCTGGAAAGGTGGGCTGGATGAGCTGGAATTGCCCCTGGGAAATGGGCTAGACGAGCTGGAATTGACCCTGTGAAATGGGCTGGATGAGCTGGAATTGACCCTGTGAAATGGGCTGGATGAGCTGGATTTTCCCCTGGGAAATGGGCTGGATGAGCTGGAAAGGAGGGCTGGATGAGCTGGAATTGCCCCTGGGAAATGGGCTGTGTGAGCTGCACAATTACCTGCAGATGTTCTGAGCTGGATGAGCTGGTTTTGTGATGGGCTCATCCAGCCCAGCAGAAGTTTTGGCTTCAAGTCGATGATTGTGCCGGTTTTTTCTTTGGCTTCAAGCCAAAGAATTTTTTTGACAAAACTCTTCTCAAAAGTGTTCCAAGTTGCCTGCCGGTTCACACAAGTTCTCCTCCAGACAAAAGCCTTTCCAGCTGACCAAGTATTTGACCTTCTTTTCTTTCTTCCAACAGTCCAGCACACCTTCCACATCCCATTCCTCCTTGTCATTGACCTGTACCGGCTCCGATGGTGTCTGAGCTGTGCTTTTGCAGTACTGAAACATGAGACACCGGGTGAACACCCTACATGGATAGTGGCAATGTCAGTTTGTAGGCAGATTGGGATTTTTTCTTAAAAATTTGAAATGGTCCAACTTGGGGCTGGGTCTTGTTGTCAAAATATTCTTGATGTTCAACCAAACCTCTTCTCCAATGTTCCAATTTGGGGTGTTCTTCACGCCTTTGTTGAATTGAGCCTTCATTGATTCTTGAGGCCCTTCTAGAGATAACTTGAGTTCTGATTGGACTTCATCAATCTGCTTGAGTCATTCCTCAACTGCTGGTAGACACTGTTCACTTGATGGGATCCTGCCATATGAGGGATTGAAACCATAATTTGCCTTGAACCGTGAGACACCAATCAAGACATGATCATTTTTGTTGTCAGAAAATTCAGCAGTAGCCAAAGGCGGTTCCCAGTTGTCTTGACAGTACTGAACAAAATGTCGTAGATACTGCTCCACTGCCTTATTTACAATTTCAGCTGGTCCGTTGGTCTTCAACATGTTTTTTTAATTAATTCTTACAGGATTCAATTTCATTGTTTCTTTAAATTTCAAATTCATTTCCTATATTTCCAAATGTTTAAAAATTGATGGTTGTATCCATTTTGCATACCAATAATATTGGTATGTGGTACAAATTATGAAAGAAACAGGGTAAGCTCATATATTAAGATTGAAGCATTGATTTTTGGGCAAAAATAATGATCCCATAAGACTTTACACCTCTCAAAATGTAGCTGGAATTGAATTTAAAATTCCAAAAAATAATGAAAATTAAGCCAGTAAGAACTAATCAAAAAAACATGTTGAATGCAATATTCAAGAAAAAGTTTTCATTTTTATGCAAAATGATTATTACCATAATTGTTAAATGTCTTAAAGTGTAGAAAATAAATTTGACATGTCAAGAAATATTGAGAAATAAGCCATAAGAAATTATTTGAAAAAATGTGTTGAATTGCAATTTTCCAAGTGATCTGTTTATTTTTACAAAAAAATAAATCATGCCATTAAATTATACGCATATTGTAATTTATAACCTAGGAAATAAATTCAAAATCTCAAAAAAGGGGCTTGGAAAAATGACTCCCAAATTTTAGTTGACAATTACCATTTGTTGGTCAACGTCAAGAGGACTGTCTGCGGATGACTCCTGGGCCAAGTTTAGACCCATAGCTCAGTCTGGAGAGTTGTTGGACCAATATGAATTTTTTTAACGGGAGTCATCTGCCCATTTTTCAATTATTTTTTTTTATTTTATTTTTTTGGGAGTTGTCCACCTAATATTCAGGAGTCAGCGGTCCAATTTCCCTTTTTTTTGACTGGGAGTTGTCGGCCTAAAGTTGCCTGACAAAAAGGCAGTCAACATCCACAAGGCTTTTTTTT